ATGTCGTATTCCTCTTGTCAAGCCACTCCTGAACAACAAACAACGTCAGAAGCGTCTTACCTGGGCTAAAGAAAAACAGACCTGGTCTGTTGCTCAGTGGTCCAATGTCTTCTTTTCTGATGAGAGCAACTTTTGCATCTCATTTGGAAACCAAGGACCCAGAGTATGGAGGAAGAATGGAGAGGCACACACTGCAAGATGCTTGAAGTCCAGTGTGAAGTTTCCACAGTCTGTGTTGATTTGGGGGGCCATGACATCTGCTGGTGTTGGTCAACTGTGCTTCATTAAGTCCAGGGTCAATGCTGCCGTCTACCAGGAGATTTTGAAGCACTTCATGCTTCCTTCTGCAGGCGAGCTTTATGGGGATGCTGACTTCATTTTGCAGCAGGACTTGGCACCTGCCCCACACTGCCAAAAGCACCAAAACCTGGTTCCATTACCGTGGGATTACTGTGCTTGATTAGCCAGCAAACTCGCCTGATCTTAACCCCATAGAGAATCTATGGGGCATTACCAAGAGAAAGATGAGAGCAATGAGACCAAACAGTGCAGAAGAGCTGAAGGCCGCGATTGAAGCATCCTGGTCTTCCATAACACCTTAGCAATGCCACAGGCTGATAGCTTCCATGCTATGCCTCATTGAGGCAGTCATTTGATGAAAAGGGGCCCAAACCAAGTACTGAGTACACATGCATGCTTATACTTTTCAGAGGTCCGATATTGTTCTATGGATCCAGCCCACTGACTCTACCTCCCCTGCTGCACTCTCCTACGGCGGTCTCACCTGGACCCACTCACCCAGGCCCAACGGTCGTAAAGGTGGTGGGGTTGGCCTGCTCCTGTCACCGCTGAGCACCTTCCGAGACCTCCCAAACCCCCCCTCCCTATCCTTCTTCTCCTTCGAGGCCCACTGCATCCGACTATTCTCCCAACCCCCCTGAAGATTGCTGTGATATACCGGCCTCCTGGATCCATACCCCGCTTCCTGGAAGACTTCTCCTCCTGGCTACCCTTCTTCCTCTCCTCTGAGCTACCCACTATCACCTTGGGGATTTCAACATCCCTGTCAACCTCGACAACCCGGACACAGCCCGTCTCCTCCACTTAACCTCCTCCTTTGCACTTGCACAGTGCATACAATCCACCACCCCCACTCCGACGGTAATATCCTTGATCTTGTCTTCTCCAACTGCTGCGCTCCCCACAACCTCACTAACACCCCCCTTCCCTCTCTCTGACCACAACCTGATTACCTTCTCTATCTCCTCATCCTCCAACGCCTACCCCTCCAAATGTCACACTACTACCAGCCGTAACCTCCGCAACCTTAACCCTGCCTCCCTCCACTCCGCAGTTGATCAACTCCATGACCGCATCCTCCCCCTGTCTTACCCCGACTTGGCTATGACCGCCTACAACAATGCGCTGTCAACAGCCCTTGACTCACTAGCGCCTTTAACCACACGCAACATCAGACCCCCGACCGCTCCAGCCCTGGCAGACTGATCACACCAAAACCCTCAAACGACACAGTCGTGCCCTGGAGCGACTATGGCGCAAAACCAAATCCCAACAAGCCTTCACCCGATACAAATCTGCCTTCCACACCTACACCTCCTCCCTCCATACTGCCAAACAAGCCTACTTCCTGACCCTCATCAAGGCCCTCTCCTCCTCCAATCCTCGCCGACTCTTCTCCACCTTCAACTCTCTACTCTCGCCACCCCCACCTCCACCCAGCACCTCACTCACTGCCCTTGAGATTGCCAATCACTTCAAAAACAAGATTGACACAATTCGCAAGGACATTGCCGCAACTCACACGCCTTCTCAACCCGTCCCCTCTCACACAGCTACCCCCTCATCCCCCCTCCCCCTCGACATAACCCACAGGGACTTCGTCGCTGCTCAAACTCCCTCCAACCCCCTTCCCCCTCACTCAGCTACCCCCTCTACACCCCTCTCCCACGGCCCCACCACTGCTCTGACCTCCTCTCCCACCCCACCCTACATTCCTCATACTGAAGCTCCCCCAACACTCCGCAACTTTGACTTTACTACCATCGAAGAAGTCTCGAAGATCCTCTCTGATGCCCGCCTCACCACCTGCCCCCTTGACCCTATCCCCTCACAACTCCTACAACCTCCCTCCCCCTCCATCCTACGCTCCCTCACCCACATCTTCAATCTCTCCCTCTCCTCCGGCACTTTCCCTTCCCCTCTGAAACATGCACACATCACCCCCATACTTTAAAAAGCCCTCCCTGGACCCCAATGACCCGAACAACCTCAGACCCATCTCCCTGCTCCCATTTACATCTAAACTCCTCGAGCGCCTAGTCTACGCCCGCCTATGCTCTCACCTCAACGACAACAACCTCCTCGATCCCCTACAGTCCGGCTTCCGTCCCCCTACACTCCTTACACTCCCCTACACTCACTCCGAAACTGCCTTACTCAAACTCTCCAACGACCTGCTAACCGCCAAAGCTAATGGCCACTATTCAGTGCTCCTACTCCTTGACCTCTCTGCAGCCTTTGACACAGTCGACCACCCCCTCCTCCTCAAAAAACTACACTCCCTCGGCCTCAGAGATTCTGCTCTCTCCTGGCTCTCATCCTACCTGTCACAACGCTCTTTCAGCGTTACCTATAATGCCACCACCTCCCTCTCACTCCCCCTCTCTGTTGGGGTCCCTCAAGGCTCTGTCCTCGGGCCCCTTCTCTTCTCCATCTACACCTCCTCCCTTGGCCAACTCATACACTCTCACGGCTTCAACTACCACCTCTATGCCGACGACACACAAATCTATCTCTCAACCCCCCACCTCACCCCCTCGGTCTCCGCCCGAATCACACACCTGTTGAGCGACATATCAGACTGGATGTCGCTCCACTTCCTTAAACTGAACCTCTCCAAAACCGAGTTTCTTGTCTTCCCTCCAGCCCGGACACCACCCCCCATTGACTTCTCCATCATGTCCCAACAACGCCACCATCAAACCCGCCCCGCAGGCCAGAGTACTTGGTGTCATTTTGGACTCCAACCTATCCTTCCAGCCCCAAGTCCACTCTTTAACAAACTCGTGCAGACTCCACCTCTGCAACATCGCCAAAATCCGCACGTTCCTAACTCCAAAAACCACTAAACAGCTCATCCACTCCCTCATCATATCACGACTCGACTACTGCAACTCCCTCCTCACTGGCCTGCCTCGCCGCTGGCTATCCCCGCTTCAGTCCATCCTGAATACGGCTGCCAGACTCATTCACCTTTCCAACCGCTCCGTTTCCGCCACCCCCCTCTGCCAATCCCTCCACTGGCTTCCGATTGCGCAACGGATCAAATTCAAAATGCTAACGCTGACGTACAAAGCTGTCCACCATACTGCCCCGAACTACATCACTAACCTAATATCCAAGTACCGCCCAGCACGCACACACACTCCGCTCCTCACAAGACCTCCTTCTCTCTAGTTCCCTGGTCTCCTCCTCCCATGCCCGCCTCCAGGACTTCTCCAGGGTGTCACCCATCCTCTGGAACTCCCTGCCCCAACCCATCAGATTATCACCTACTCTCCTCTCCTTTAGGCGCACCCTGAAAACCCATCTCTTCAGGGAAGCCTACCCCACCCCCTGCTAACTTGCCGACCTCCTCCACTCTTCCTACCACTCCATCCCCCACAGCTATCTCCTCCTGTGCCACCATCCCCTCCCTCCTAGATTGTAAGCTTGAAAGAGCAGGGCCTCGATCCCCTCATGTTTTGCATTGTATTGGTATTGTTCTGTCACATGTTCTGTCCCCCTTTGTAATGTACAGCGCTGAGCGAACTATTGGCGCTTTATAAATACTGTATAATAATAAATAATGTACTATCCTTGTTTTTGATTGCATGTTATATTCTAATTTTCTGAGATTGTGGATTTGGGGTTTTCATGTGCTGTAAGCCATAATCATAACAATTATGACAAATCACGGCTTGGACTATCTTGCTTTGCATGTAATGAGCCTATTTTATATATTAATTTCACCTTTTAAGTTGCATTACTGAAATAAACTTTTGCATGATATTCTAATTTTTCGAGTTTAATCTCTATAAATGAGGATCAATGGCTAAAGTGCATTCATTCACTGTAAAAGTCTACGTGCTGCAATAAACTTCATTGTTTTGTTTGCATAGGGAAACATTGACACAAAAAAAGCTCTGTAATGTCAATGCTGTAGTCCATGATTTGGAATGGGAAAGCAACAAATAGCTTGCTAAATGCTTGTCAATTTAAATTAATGGTGTGTTTATGGATTGAAATTCAAAGTCAAATCACATTATTACTCTTTAGAAATACCTATACAGAAAATATATTATAGCATCTGTGCTGTGTTTTATTGGTAATTTAGTCCTCATAGACTTGTACTTTCTGCAGTCTGATAACTGATTGTATAACCACTTAAAAGAGATCTCAATTTAGTGTGTTTAAGTGGTACTATCTGGCATGAGTTTTTTTTTAAATTAGCTTGTGTCTTCCGCATTTTATGAAAGTACACCAAAAGTCCCGTGTGATATATCTTTGGTGCCCCTTCAGAAAATGCACTGAAAACGAGGCACATAATAGCAAGTCTGTGGGAAACTGTGGGTAACCTGCACAAAAACCACGGGTATACCACCCACGTGACGGCCAAACTGTAGCACAGTTAGTTATTTGTTGTTGTTCTAGCTGATACAATTCACATATATTTGAATTATCAGTTGCTTGGCAACCTTCTTACTGGAGGTTTGGATTCAATTAAAAAAAAAAAATAAATATTATATATATATATATATATATATATATATATATATATATACACACACATACATATATAAGAGAAATATATAAAGCTTACTTTGATTTTATTTTGAAGTTTCAAGTATGAATAAAGAAAGTTGATCAGAAGTGGATGTATGAATAAATAATACAATATTTGAAATATTAAATAGGACCTATCTGTTGTTTCTGTATAGGTAGTGCCTTAGAGAAGAAAGGAGGCAAAGAGTTTTTAGAAGCAGTAATTGAACTGAAAAAAAAGAATGGACCTTTAGATGTTGCTGGTGGTAAGTATATGTGTAAGTGTGTGTGTGTGTAAAGTCTACATTTGGGGAGTAGAGAATCATTAAAAATGAAATATTACTGTATCAACCCAGGGGAATTTTCTTCTAAGGTAAACCTGTCATCATTGAAATGAGAGGGCTGTCCACTAGAAAATGATAATTCACTAGCTTTTATGGTGACTCATTGGTTTTGAGTCACTGTATCAAACACATTAGAGTAAGGTCTGAATTTTTAATTCACCTACTGACCTGGAACACCAGGTCAGTGATTCAAAATTCATATATAGGGTTCCTGGATTTAAAGTGTACCTAGGTTTTAGTCTAAGGATCATTTGTTTTTTGTCCCGTGGAGAAGATTTACTTCTACTTTGTGTCTTGGAGATACAATAGGAAGTGAGAGGAGATCTCTCGAAAAGTTGAGGAAATCCTCTCTTAGTTGTCATCAAAACAGGTTACCCTTTGAAAGATTTCCACTCTCTTCCTGTTCTGGTGACAGCGGTATGTATGTTCCATTCTCAACACTTTCTGTCCCATTGACAGTAGACACAAGGGCAAATAAAGAGGGAGAATCTCCCCAGCAGCAGAAACCTGACATCTGTTTGAATAATTCTAAACTCTATCCAAAACTGAAAGAAAGAGCTTTGTCTTTAGATATACTTTAAATCTTGCATCAGAGCCTTGTAGGAAAGGTGCAGAGCAGGTAAAATTATCTGGGAATGACAAATTTGAAAAGTGCTTGTACTCAAAAATGTGTCTTCCTTTTTTTTACAGTCAGGTCCATAAATATTGGGACATCGACACAATTCTAACATTTTTGGCTTTATACACCACCACAATGCATTTGAAATGAAACAAACAAGATGTGCTTTAACTGCAGACTGTCAGCTTTATTTTGAGGGTATTTACATCCAAATCAGGTGAACGGTGTAGGAATTACAACAGTTTGCATATGTGCCTCCCACTTGTTTAAGGGACCAAAAGTAATAGGACAATTGACTTCTCAGCTGTTCCATGGCCAGGTGTGTGTTATTCCCTCATTATCCCAATTACAATGAGCAGATAAAAGGTCCAGAGTTTATTTCAAGTGTGCTATTTGCACTTGGAATCTGTTGCTGTCAACTCTCAGGATGAGATCCAAAGAGCTGTCACTATCAGTGAAGCAAGCCATCATTAGGCTGAAAAAACCAAACAAACCCATCAGAGAGATAGCAAAAACATTAGGCATGGCCAAAACAACTGTTTGGAACATTCTTAAAAAGAAGGAAGGCACCGGTGAGCTCAGCAACACCAAAAAACCCGGAAGACCACGGAAAACAACTGTGGTGGATGACCAAAGAATTCTTTCCCTGGTGAAGAAAACACCCTTCACAACAGTTGGCCAGATCAAGAACACTCTCCAGGAGGTAGGTGTATGTGTGTCAGTCAACAATCAAGAGAAGACTTCACCAGAGTGAATACAGAGGGTTCACCACAAGATGTAAACCATTGGTGAACCTCAAAAACAGGAAGGCCAGATTATAGTTTGCCAAACGACATCTAAAAAAGCCTTCACAGTTCTGGAACAACATCCTATGGACAGATGAGACCAAGATCAACTTGTACCAGAGTGATGGGAAGAGAAGAGTATGGAGAAAGAAAGGAACTGCTCATGATCCTAAGCACACCACCCCATCAGTGAAGCATGGTGGTGGTAGTGTCATGGTGTGGGCATGTATGGCTGCCAATGGAACTGGTTCTCTTGTATTTATTGATGATGTGACTGCTGACAAAATCAGCAGGATGAATTCTGAAGTGTTTTGGGCAATGTTATCTGCTCATATTCAGCCAAATGCTTCAGAACTTATTGGACTCCGCTTCACAGTGCAGATGGACAATGACCCAAAGCATACTGCAAAAGCAACCAAAGAGTTTTTTAAGGGGAAGAAGTGGAATGTTATGCAATGGCTAAGTCAATCGCCTGACCTGAATCCGATTGAGCATGCATTTCACTTGCTGAAGACAAAACTGAAGGGAAAATGCCCCAAGAACAAGCAGGAACTGAAGACAGTTGCAGTAGAGGCCTGGCAGATCATCACCAGGGATGAAACCCAGCGTCTGGTGATGTCTATGTGTTCCAGACTTCAGGCTGTAATTGACTGCAAAGGATTTGCAACCAAGTATTAAAAAGTGAAAGTTTGATTTATGATTATTATTCTGTCCCATTACTTTTGGTCCCTTAAGAAGTGGATGGCACATATGCAAACTGTTGTAATTCCTACACCGTTTACCTGATTTGGATGTAAATACCCTCAAATTAAAGCTGACAGTCTGCAGTTAAAGTACATCTTGTTCGTTTCATTTCAAATCCATTGTGGTGGTGTATAGAGCCAAAAATTTTAGAATTGTGTCGATGTCCCAATATTTATGGACCTGACTGTATATAGATGGACATTGTCTGTCTGGTTCCCCCAGCTGGTGTTCACTGATGTGTGGGACCCTGGCAGCAATCTTTCCCACCTTATGGCTCTGATGAAATTTATCACACAAAAACATTAGACATATGTACCTTTTAATGGATTCTAGAAATTAACAGTAGGTAGCCTACTTAGAAGTATAAAGTAATGATTTAAGTGAAAAGCCAGGATTTCCAGAGAAATTGTAGGGTGGAGGAAGATTAATACAACACAGTAAAGCCCCAGCACCAAATTTACCCCCATTCTACTCCATCCAAAATATATATTTTTTGGTGGAGTTTATCTTTAGCCTATTAGGACCAATTACATTGATTGTATTAGCTGCTTGAATTTTTGTACTTTATTATTTATATAAATTACAGTGAAATGCTTTCTCCTAGTCATCAAAATATTTTTTGCTTTCACTGTATCATCTATCAGGTGTTTCATAACATCAGCATTAAGCTGTGAACTGCTGTGCACTTTGAACCAGAATTCCTTTACCAACTGTGATACTAGCTTATTTGTAAAATGCAGGACTCTTACCATTAACCTGCAAAGTTCACTAAACGTACACAGTTTCTATTTTTAAGAACGACAAAACTTAACAGACTCACATCATGGTTCGATTCTAACTCAAGAATAAAAGTCGTTGTGTGAAGGTGAAACATTTAAGCTGCCATATTGGCCACATTTTGCATATAATTCCCCATCTGATTACAGGAATGTCAGGTTGTTTTATTAGATTTCTCCTGAATTTATGATGCATTCTCCATATGCCAAATGAAACAGTGGAACATAAATTAGAACAAATTGGAAATGTCCAGAGCTCAACTTCTTCAATATGTTAGGGAACAACGCCCAACTACACAATTGTTCTTGGTACTCCCCGTACTCCATGAAATTTATAGGTGACCCTAGTTTTCCTGCAAACACTTCAATCTTGGTCCTTAATGATAGCTCTTTTATGTCTGTGCAAAAAAAGAAAAGCAATAACGGGCCGAGAAGGAGTGTATTCATACCAAATAAAAGCAGGTTTTCGGTCACCTTTTGAAAGATGTTGATTTGAAGAACACTGGCTTTCAATTACTTGCACATATTGCAATATTAATGCACAGCAGTGTCTTGGACTGTTTAACTTTAAACTTGCAGATGAATCTTGACATCGAACAGCAAACTCTGAATATCAACACTTAGGTTACTTTTTATTGTCATGTTTGCTGAGAAATGTTAAACATTTAAATCTTTAAGTCTTCAAGCAATGTACTATTTGGGAGCTTTGAATGCAGAATAGATATGTTTTAAATAGAAATGTAAAATAATATTTAGGCCTCATTCCGACCTGTGTACTGAAAACTTAGTCAGAAAGACCCAGGTTTTTAAGAATGGAGATTTGGTACAATGATAAGGGGTCTTTGTATAATACCTAATGCTCCGCACATCTAAACTACTATATACAAATGTTTGGAAGTGCACTGCTGAACACATGTCAGAACCAGAGCTTAATATAATGAAGAAAGACCTGTTTTCAAGAAAACATCAACAATTGTAATACACTATAAGGCTACCAATTGTTGCTATATGGAGCAGCAAACAGGCAATCCTTACACTACCCTAATGACAATAACATAGAAAATATGTTGTTCCCAATAAAAACAAAGCCATATGGTTGATATATATAACCTTCCTTACATTAGGGGTCAGTGGAAAAAGAATCTCCCTTATAGTCTATTGGAGTCAGTGTGACATTTATTATTCCCACTGACCACCAATGTAAAAGGAGATTCTTCCTCCAATGGACCACCAATGTAGGGACATTTCTTGCATTGGTGGCAGTGGGAAAATTCAGAAGCACATATAAATCATTGGTGTCATTTTCACTACTGATATATACATCTCCTGCTTGACATCTGGATATGGAGAACTCAACCTGTACATCATGTGCCACATATTTGTGTAGAATACATATTGTACTTTAGGTTTTTTGAGATTACCAATCTAGTAGTGAGTATTGTATATGTTTTTATACTAGGGAGGGGCCCAGATTTTTTAGAAGTGTTATTGATATTTTAAGGATATTTGGAATAAAATGATTACATTTTAACTATTATCTCATATTGTGCCAATGAAGTCTGTTGTTGTTGGTGGATGGATATATTTTCCCCCTTCCCTGTTCCATTCCTTTTTAACATGTTGTTGAAAACAGCCTAAGCACTCGCCATGTCCCTCACTTGTTAACAAAAAGCTGGCAAAGAATGTCTCACTACTCATTTTGTTTACATTTATAATCAAACAATAGTGCTGCACTCCCGTGCTAATTAATTATTATACTAAAGAATTATGTGAATCCATAAAATTTTATACCATACAGTTGTGTCAAAAAATTATTTAAATCATCCTCCTAAATTAAATGAAATATATTAATGACCAAAAACAATAAATTCCCTCAATCCATAAGCAATATATCCCATCAGCATGTGTCCAGAAACATATAATAAAGAAAAGTCCTCCTTTCATGAAATATTATAAAAACAAACAAATGGATTTATTCCAACACATGGATGGCT